TTTGTTCATAGAATGCAGAAAAAATTATGAGTTACCGAATGACATTTTAATTACTGACTGTCTGTAGTTACGTCGAGGCAACAATGTGCTGTTTTAGAAATAATATTCAACATAAACTTTAAAGTGACTGTGAATTACAATAGATTAGCTTGAATATATATATATATATATACATATATATATACATATACATACATATACATATACATCCCCCCTTATAAACTCTCAAGGTTGATAATACAAGTAAGAGAAAAGGTGATACAAAATTCGTCAAGAAGTGAAAGACCTCTGTTATGCTCCTCCACCTTGATGATAACGCTAAGCGGTGGTAATATTACCTAATGTAACACATATTTATTGTTTCATCATGTGTAAAATCGAAAGCAGCAATCACGACACAACACATTGACAAAAAATAAGAGGCGATATTTAAACCCAAATGACCACGAGAGGTGTGTTCATCAGGATGATGAAAGACTGGCAACTGTGATGAGATTTTTTTAGATTGATTTCTGACGAATTACCATATACCTCTATCTTTCATTAATATCGTCTGAAAATCAAATATAGGATAACATGAATTAAGATCATTGGAAAACAAGATTCGCCCTACGGTGGAAGACATGTATTTATGGGCAAGAAGTATGAAAGCTTTATTTAATACATTCAGTGACTTCATGGCCACGATGAAATTTTGAATGATAGGTATCGCTCATTGCTTAGAACTGAACTGTCACATCTCCAGTGACAAAGTAACAGTTTACCACTGCCTGATATGCTAAGTAGAGTATTAAAGTTAACAATAAGATATACATCTCGTGTTTTCCAAGAAACATGAATAACTACAAGAGATGAAATAAATCAAAATATTTTCCACTCATAATTTTAATGGAATTTAATCTGAAATATATTAGTATTACTACTAGAACTAGAAGTAACTGTGATTTTATAGCTGTAGAAAGAATCGTTTTTATCCACTGATTAATTCATGTTTCTTTTAGGAAACTTATTTTCGATGCAGGCGATAGGACACAATTTTGTGTCATTTACAATATGTTTACATTGTTTTTGAAGTATCATGTTATGTTAAGTCGATATGATTCCTTTCTCTTGAAGAAAACATCTTTTATGCAAATTATTTTAAACTGGTTGCTGATAAAATCGTCTATAGTAAAACAAACTAGAGTAAGATACCTTTTGAAGAGCAATTTATTTTCCTTTATGGTATGTTATCATTCTCGGCTAACAACACCATGTCGACAGTTCCTAGAGATTAAAAGCGTCAAAATCAGTTGGGTTATTTGTAAAACTAAACATAAGGTAGTGAATAGCAAAGCTTAATTTAATGATATTCGTTTTATGCATTTTCGCTTCCGGCTGTTCAACGAATATGGTCTTGTAAACTTAAACGCTTCCTAGAAATGAGAACTGCTGTCATTCAGATGGTGAGCTTCTAAAGTATATTTTCAAAATCAGATGTCTATGTCAGAAAGATAGAAGTTAGGCGGTCAACAAAGACACATTGGAGTCATCAGCTTAACAGTAGTGTCTACAAGACTGCAATATAATGACTAAGCATATTATTGTACTGTACCATAGATCTTGTTTGTGGAAAGAGTTAATGCGAAAGTTTTGGCAAATAAGTGAAGCATAAAAAGTGACCATTTCTCTTTCACTTGAAATAATCATGGAAGAAAATTAAAAAACACTTTAAATAAAGTTCATCAAAACGGGCCTAACTTACAATATAATCGGATGAATGGCTAAAATGGTAAAATAAAATAAAACACATGAAGTATAAACCACTAGAAGGATTGTAGATTTATTTAGGTATCACACCTAGTTTGAATATTATCCAAAGAATAACAGATAACCTACAAAGTGTGACAAATCTCCTCAGTTAAAAATGTAATAAAAGATCATGTCAACAGCGTATTCACGCAACAGTTTCTAGGTAGTCTTTGATAAAGCATTTTGAGTTTAGATGAAACAAGTGTTCTGTATGTTATCCACCTGAATGTCTTCCTGATTAATTTCAGTTTGAAAAGTATCCCAAAGCAGATATTTTTTGTCATTTAAGCAAGTATCGTTTCATCTTACTTCTTTTATTTCATTTATCTTAATTATGACTGGTGCACTTGAGTACAGTGGACTGATAATGATTCATTTCCAGTAATTCCAAGCCATGAAAGTGGAAATCATGATATCCAGGTTAATGAAGCCCCGCCTTTTATATGATAAATACCTGTCGCTGGGTTTACGACAGTTTTTTCACCAACACTGCCAACTATGAGATAAAATGTTTGTCTTCTTAAAATGACATACCTTATAATTTTTCATGCTTCAGTAACTGACTAGTCTGGGTTCAGAAGCTCATATGTACATTCACGTGGTTTTAATGTAACGTTTGTTATCACGAAAATATGATGTAATGTATTCGTTAATGCCCTATATGTGGAAAAGAGAAGAAATATGAAGTTATCACTAACATGAGTATTCCTGATATCACAAAAACTTATAAACCAATAATCAAGTATAATTCAGAACTTGACCAATCCGTTGGTCAATCTGTAATTTTATTGACTACTTTTGAGGGCATAGTGCCAAACGTAACGTCATATATTCGGTTTCTGGTGTTATTAGACTGAGATTTTTCGAGAAACCGTTAGAAACAAAGGAGCAATAGACATAGGATGTCGGTTCACGAGAATGGTCTCTTTGATACCAATCAAAATCGTACAAGTTTTATAGCTAAATTGTAATAGTTCTTTAAGAGTCCTAATGAGAAGTAATCGGTGAAGTTCTCTTAATAAAGTGTTACTACAGTTAATCATCAATGATATTAGATAACGGGTACCTAGCTCCACGTTCTTCAAGTGTTACGACTTATTGGATTTCTACCCATTTATTCAGTTTCAACTTACCAGTCATGAAGTGTTACTCATTGGATTTCAATATCAGCTATATTCCTTTAAAAGTGATGCCTAAAATCATGATAAGGGAGTTATATCCAAAATATCTTTCTGTATATTACGTTTAATTAAGACTGAAAACTGTTCATTTTTGGGATTTCAGCAAAACTTCACGCAAAATCTTAGTTACAGCATTCAAGCATAATTCTAACTCTTAATACATTCTTTCGTTTTAGTAAAATAAGTAGTATGTTTGATTTTATCTTAGCTTCAAGGCAGAATGAAAGGGTAATGGTTCTTCACTGTAAGATGAAATGAGTCTTCAAACTCTTACTTGTAATATAATTTTCTATAACTGAGAAAGATTAAATTTTAGAGTGAAAATGGTCTTCCATTCGTACTCCTCTTTTATATTTCCTGATAACTCTGTATATATTTACTTTCGACGGACTTTAACGCTTTGGCACTTTATTCCATTAAAATGGAGATATCTTGAATATTCGATGAAACTTTAAAATCTAAAATTACTAAATTTAATAATTTATGTCATGGAGTGAAATTAAATGGGTTCAGCAGTTCGTATTTTATTTAGGTTGACCATCATTCCTAAGATTTGTGTTAAAATGTATAAAGACAACCCTGACCTAAATTAAAACATTGTTAACTCATTGAGAGGGCTTGTCGTAAATCTCCATCTCAATAGGTTGGCTAAAAAGCGAATTGTTGGTGAAGTGCAAGATTTTCAGCCCGATACTAAATAATGGGTGGTGACATACATGAATTAGTAACCTTCGCACAGTAGTTCCCTATTCTGACAGTAAGGCTAGTTTCATTTCATGGTTCATCTTTGATAGTGAAAAATAATTTAGAAAATCTTTGGCCCCAATTATTTTATTCTGAATATTTTCTGTTAACTATACAACAAGGGCGCAAACGGTAGCTTATGTAAAGAACAGGTCATGTCAGTATGAAGTTGAACGTATATGTTTATAGAGTTTAATTCTGTTGTATAAATAGATGTTTCAACTAAACATGTAACATTGATAAAGGAGCAGTTAGATGGAATATTTACAACGGACACATAATAATAACAATCACAAATAGGAGTATTTTATTTCTTGAGACCAGTGAGGAAATTATTTACAACCACTTTCCCCAAGAATTTTTTTGTCTGCTAGTTACGGTGAACGTACCTCATTATTTTTCCTTCTTACTTAAGCAGAAGGTTGTGTCATAAGAAAGTCATTATCCTAAATTAGACTACGTGTTTACAGAGGATTTCTTCAGCTATATTTCAAATAAACACTGGAAAATAATGAGTTCAACTTGATTTACTCTAACCTCTTAGGTCTCTCTGGGAGTCGTCTCTACTCATTAGGCTTTTTGCTCATGTTTAAGTTTGGCCTGTATTCGCCCTAGTCCATTATTCATTATCAAATTCATTCTAATTGGTCCCACAGCACAACTGTATCGTCTTACCCAACTTACAACTTATTTCCCACATTTTGTGATTAGGCAAAGATGCTGGACATTGTTAGGTCAGAATTTACTTACTTTAGGCTAACTCATTTACCGTCTCCCACTTTAATACTGTAAGCAACCACTCATTAACCAGTAGGTGGTCTTCTATGTAGCAAGGTGTTAAGATAAATTTTTTACTTCCTATTGATGAAGAAAATTTGAAAAAGGCGTAATTTCTTGTGCGAAAAAAATGGTCAACATATACAGGGATAAGATTTCATTAATTCTTTTCTTTACTGTCGGACGACTCGAATTTTCCAATTTATGCATATATATTGCCGTACGTATAAGGTCAAAATCAAAATAAATAAATCAATTTCAAGAAAAGTTTTGTTATCTCACTTTATTTGCCAAGGCGAAAGATGAAATTTAAAAAGGAATAGTTATCTTTTTACTTAATTGTGGGCTTGAGGTTAAAGGTTAAGCTAAACATATACCTATGAGTAAACATTCAGGCACACCTAGAAGTTAACAAAATTTGTGGAAAAATATATACATTGTTAAATCAAAATATTTTTTGCCGTCAAAATTCAATCTCTTTTCTCTTTCCTTTTTCACTTAATTCAGATTGAAGAGATCGTGAAAACGTTGACGATATTTCCTACTCAGCTTCGAGATAAATGCAGTCAACTGTCCCCTGGATTTTTGTATTATGATGAAGCAAGTTTATTTTTTGTATGCAATTTATTAAATTTAGTTGCACTATGTAGTGAACGGTGCGTTGATGGCACAGCGGTAGAATGCTTGTCAACGACGCATGTAGTCCGGGGTTCGATTACGGTCAACGCACTCCTTTACCTAGCTAAGTCAGTAATAAGGCTGGTAAAGAGGGAAGGTTGGGCGTAGGGCTAGCAACCCCATCTGCTACCGAAACTTAAAGCCTGTAACCTGAAGTCCTATGTTCCACTGAGAACTTAAGGGAATAAAAAACAAATGAAAATAAGTAGTGAGTGATATTTGTACACATACGTCTAATGAATTTAAAAATAAATTAGTCTCTGAGCTACTTGGCTTGGGAATATTCTTATATGGTAAGTGACATTTTTATTAGCGGGGCTGTAATTGACGTAATTCCGTCTTCTTCGTAGAGCTGTATATTTGTTGATGTTTCATATCTCACCAAAGTCTTCATCAATCAAAAAATTAGATGAGGGAATAAAATGGTTTGAAGTAGTTGCATTGTGTAGCGAAGTATTTAATCTCAGTCCTTCTGCGTCGTATTCTTTTCATAACTGTTTTAGAGAATTGCATTTAGTCTAAAGCGGAAAATTCGAAATGCAGAAATTGTCTTATTAGAAGTGTATGCAAAGTGGAAAATATTTTGTTCTGACAACACCTACAGATTTTCATCAAAATATAGGGTGAATTTCGCAGAGAAATTATAAAAACCTCTCAGAAATAGCACAGGATTCCTACAGTGAAGAAGCAAACAGAATCTACAGCTTTCAGAAACTATTAGTTTAAAATTGATATTTGAATATGTCATAGTTACTTTCCATCTAGGTTTACTTTTAAAAAAGCCAGTTGACACTGAATTTAATAATAATACTATGTGGATTTATGCGTTTGACTAATCAGAACCTTATTCTCAAACACAAACTTACTGTTTCATTGGTCTTAGTATACTTAAGTCTGTGGCGAGACAAAAAGGTGATTGAAAAATAGGTGGTTTCATTTACTTTTTTCTACTCAATAAAGTTAATGTTTACACTGTACAGATATTTGCAGTTTGGCGCAAAAAACTAGTGAAAAAAATGTGGCTATTTTGTCTGAATCAAAAGTGGATGCTTTTGGATGCCGTAACTTGAGAAACTCAATGGATATTTCACATATTTCAGTAATATATAGCTTTATATGTTAAAGTCTCAAACAGTTCTGCTGACCATAAAATAAGTGGGCAGTTTTGCCCATGTGCTTCAATTTTGAATTTGAAGCATTGTAGAATATCAAGTTTCTTTAAGATAGGTAAACAAAATTAATTGATTTTTTCGCTTTAGGTCTCGTAAAAGGCCATGACTGTAACATTCTCTAAGTGGAGAAAAGAAAACAAATTTCATCTGTAATCAGGAAGTGACAATATGTTAAATACTTTATAAAAATCATATAGGATTTCGAGCACTTTCCGGGTTGGAAATGCATGCCAACATCTTCAGAATAATTGCGGCGACTGAAACTTATGTTTCATTCAAATGATTTGCGATCTTAGTATAAATATTAGTTGTCAACGCCGACGTGAATGAAATTTCTATAGACGCATGTTTGCGACTGACTTTCTGACCGACTGTCAAATGTCAAATCACGCCGAGCACAAGCTTACAGTCGAATCGTATTTTGCATATTTTTTATTTTTTATTACAGCTTGATTCCACACCGTATTTTTTGGTACAGGTATGGAATTTTCAGTATGTGATATCGGTAGCCCGAATTTTGCAGGCCGACCATAGATATCAGGTGTGCGTCGGCAGGGGATCGAATCCCGGACCCCGGACCCCGTCGGCGAGAGTCCTAACCACTGTGCCCTTAAAGTCTTCTTCAGTGTTCTGATACTACTAGCATCCCTTTGAACTTGTATGATGTAATATTATACATTGAGATTAAACCTTTTGATTCTTGGATGTGCTGACAAATGACTTAAAAACGCTTTAATATCACTTCAACAAATATACCAGTTTTATTCATGTGCACTATAATCGGAGGCGTATAACACTTTAAAGAAAGACATATTTTGTGTTTCCTTTTTAACAAATACTGACAATGAATCCGATTTGTTGTTCTATGTCATTTTCTAGTGTGAACAAGCCTGCGATTCTGATCGTTTTTATAGTGACTGTATTAAAATGTGCGAGGTATGTATTTATTATATTTATATATTATTTATTTAGATTAGTTATTCAATATGCTATAATTATTCAAAAATATTGTTAAAGTTAATAATTCAGTAGGCACATAGGAACTTATTGTTCCCTTCCGTTAGTTGGTAAGACTAACTCTCTGTTCACGTGTGAACGTAACAATCTTCGATAGGCTCAGTTTTAGCGACACTTAGATATACAATTTGTCTATTATGCCTCCTGTTGGACATTTTCATTTGTTTCTCTTCCATTGATTGATAACTACCGAAACCAAAAAATAAGTAATTTTTACTATCATTGTCAACAGTTACATGTTTTATGTTCTCCTTATGCAAATTCAGTCAAATGACTCATAAATTAAATTATCATGTAGATTCAGTTAGGGTTATGTTTTGCTTTTGGCATTTAAGTGGATTCACTATTCCTGTTATCAATAAATTTACCTAGAGTTCAGTTTGCTACTGAAAGAAAAGCAGAGAGCTTTACATTTACTGCCAACATATTTAGTGACGAGTATGTCCAGTATTCGTTATTCTCTGTCATATCACCATATTTATTATAATGATGAATTGGCAATTCCAGGTGTTTATCTATTCGGTATCATAAACACATTTTTGTATTTTTATTTATATGCACCAATATAATAGATGCGAATGATTTATTGTAGAGTATGATTTCACTATCGGAAGAAATTTGCGAATTGTATATACAAGTCATATTTATCCAGCATAGCAAATAATCCATTATTATTGAACATGCTATGCATGCTACCGAAATATCTCTTGCCGCTTAGATAAAGGTTCATGTTAATTTATTTTCATAGCACACATCATGTTCAACAGTTGTTTCCTATATATTTCACAAGTATGTAATTTATCTTTCAAAACAGGGCTTATTAAAATAAGTAAATCTGAAGATTATGTTTTCATTAGACATATTTAAAAATACATTAACAGTGGGATGATAAATCAGAAGACTTTAACAGAGAATTCTCTATCAGCTTAGGAGCGCTGATTTCCACCATTACTTAATATGAATTTTAAAAAGTTTTATGTAATATCCCCGGCTTTCAGGTTGACAGATACCTATACAGACACTTCTGAGGTGGTTTATTTATGAGCTTTTATATACGGCTTGATTACTTATTAGTCAATCAGTTGGGAGATTAGTCCTTTAATTCCTTACATAACCAGACGTGATTTACGGCCTTCACTTTAGATGAGTATAGCTCACGCAAGATTAGTGTGATAGTATATCAAACAACAGAATTCTTTTAGCTACAAAGTAGGATAGAAAGATGACTTTGATTTAGTACTCTGTACCATAGCATATCACAGTAATAAAATAGAACTCATCACTGTAAGTTGCAAATGAAAATGAACTGCAAAACTAACAGTGATTCCATCCAGTTTAAGTGCAATCTACCATAAGTGGTAATCAGCAAAATGATGGCATATAGGAGCATTATATCCACCTGTTTTGTCAACTTCCGCAACTGCGTGAAAGAGACTACCGAAATCTGAAAAAAATCGTTAACTTAGATGCCAAAAAGATCTCACCACCTAAATATTTTACTACATAAATCCTCCTCCTCGTCCCTCGACAATGAATAGTACTACAGAGTGCACATTCCGTACATTAAACATGTTCAGTGTTTTGCAGATGTAAAGCATTACACCAAAATAGTGTGATTACCAAATTGACAATCGCACTTTTCCAGCATTATTTCCCCGTTTCTCGCTATTCAAGGTTTAATGCATTATGAGACTTAAGGTGTTTATGATATTTCCAAATATAATGACGTTCTCATTGTGATACGGATGGATTTCAGTAAACAGCGACATGGTAAGCTTTGCAAAAACAAGAGAAGAATCGTTTTACTGTTTCGCCATCTGTTAAATAATATGTGTTAACGTAAACACTGAGACAACCCTATGAAAATTATAACTGTTCAGGGTGCAGTTTTGGGCACTCTGCACCCACACTGCCTGTGATCACAACTGGTAGTTGTAAAAACATACAAATAGGTTTACATTGATGCATTCTCTTCCAAACAAATATGTCAGTTAAACCAAATCGCAACCAGAAAACTAAGGTTTTTCTTCCATTTCACTCAAAATATCTTCTAAAATTAAGATAAATGGAAACGAGTGATATTTAGGTCGAAAACAAATAGAATCATAATTTTATAACAATAAATGTTTCTCCATGTACAATTATCTTGACAATTAATTATTTTCAGATAAGTTAATTTGAATGCCTTTTGTGTAGAGAAATGTCTAAATAGAAAAAAAATATGATAAAAATCTCTGAATAATGAAAAAAAACAATCAAACAAAAAGAACGTTTATCTGATAAAATAATTGGCAAAAAATAAGCTCTTATACACGGAAGGAATAAGGAAAGACTTTCTCTCCACCTATATTTTGTGGTTCGAAAGATGATCTTCATTCAAAATTTGTGAAAGCCTGCGTGATATAAATTATTAAATGGACTGGTCGCCTTCATAAAAGATAGATAATAGATAACTAGGAGTAAGATTGGGCATTTAGCGAAATATACTACTGCTTATTGACCTTATTTTCAGAAATAAATCATGCTATATAAAGAATAACATGAAAGTGAATTGCTGCATAATTATTATTTTTTTCTAATGAATTTCAACCATTTAGTTCAGACATTAAACAGCACTTATCATTTTAAAAATAGACATTTAAGTTCTGATAAGTCATCGATCTCTGGGCTCAAGTTTCCAATTTGCAACGATGGCTACGTTGCAACAGGGGCTATCTTGAACTCAGACCATTACTTATGACAATATTATTTATGAAGATAAGGAAAAAATATTTTGTATAGTGCTGTTTATATATACTTACTAAAAAAGAGCGTATTTCGCTATTTTGGTTGGACATGAGTTAGTAACTAATGTAATGTGTCTAGTCCTTTGTTTGGTGCAGACTGAGCCCTATCAGTCAATTTGGCAATGTGGTTAGCATTCTAGGTGGCTTGCCATCATGTGTTGATGTTAGATGGTTGGAAGCAGTCATCAAGAAGCCTTGGACCTTGGTCTCATGCTGACTGACACTCACCAGTCATCAAGGAGTGTCTGCAACCTTGAAGGAACTCATGTCCCTTCTGATGCTGATTGCCTCCAACTATCTAATTTCAAAAATTCAATGTGCACCGTGATGGCGAGCTACCAAGAATGGTGGCCACATTGCAAACTTGACTGATAGAATTTAGTCTGCACCAAATAAAGGAATAGACACACTACCCTAGTCACTAACTAGTATCCAATCAAAGTATCCAAAATAGTCATACAGGAGGTCAGTCGCGAGCCCGAATAGCTCGGTGTTCACGTCTTAGACTACAGAATTGCGTAATGCGGGTTCGAATCTCAGAAGGGACATGAGTTCCTTCAAGGTTGCAGACACGCCTTGCTGACGAGTGCTAAATAGCACGAAACCTAGGTCCAAGGCTTCCTGCCAATTGTCTCCGACCATCTAATGCTTACAATTGTTTCACTACTGCTGATGTCTAATGTAAATGTGAAATTAAACCAAATTATACGTTGATTTAATCGTAATACTGTGCCTCATAGTTAAGTACTTTAGCGTTATACATATATATGTACATATATTCATCGTTTGCATAGCAACTTCCGTACAAACTTTATTCGACCGAATGAATAGAAGTGTAAATTTACTGTCTGGGTTCTACCCTACTGTATTGAAATCTGCATTCAGAAATGGTTACTTAGAAATAACTTATCACTTCATAATAATTTGATTTGAGCAAATGTTTCTAAAGAAAAGAGGTAATTTAACTGCTTATATTTGTCATTAATTTTTAAGTCTGGCGATTCACCTGGTGGTTGGTCGTGTCTTACTGGCTGTCGAGCTTTGGATGCAGCTTTGAAGAAGCGTTCTGGTGATTGTCCTGAACAAATCGGACTGGCTATTCATCGTATTCCGGATTTAATTTCTGACAAGCAGGGAGGTGAAGCCTTTCCTTCACAACAGCCTTCTCTTTTCCCGGGAAAAAGTATTTCATTGGATCAAAGTAACATGGATTTGAGATCTAAATTATCAGACAATTCTTGGTATGAACGTCATGGTAGTAGTCTGAATGAAATAAGCAGCTGTACAGTTGACGCAGAGTGTCCACAAAAGCAAGACAAATGTTGTCAGTCAAAGTGCAAGCCAGCGGTGATGAACAAAGGTAATATACTCTACTTTTAGTAGCTGGTTTAATAGTTTAAAATGAACTTTTGCAACTGATTTCATGAATTTGTAACGTTCACAACTAATAAGTCGAGTCACTCAGTGAGCCGTGCATGATAAGTAAAAATAAACGAATGAAGGCAATTTGTAAAGACGGGTTAAAAATCAGTCAAGGTTGGCAGGAAAATAAGTATGGTGCTTGCATACAGAAATACGTGAAATAAAATTTGAAAATAATGACGAAATGGTACGTAAATATCGCTTTAGTCGTCTCAGTTGAAGCATAATTCATCGAGGAATGTGAGCTATTTACCCAGTTGCAGTGACAACCAAATAAAGAAGTTGAATAACCAGTATATAAATATATATAATTTAATTTCTTTTCTGTTTCGAGTTAAACATAAGGCTTCAAGATTCAGATTTGAAGTTTCAGTAGCACTGATATTTTTACGGTGTGAGGTTGCTAACCACAACCCAAACTTGCGTCTTTGTCGGAGTTAAACCATCTTAGGTAGGAATCGGACCCGGGACCACGTGCATGGTTGACAAGCATTCCATCTCCGAACCACCGACTCATTTATATATACATATATAAATAAGACATTAAAATATTTGTAAGTATAACGCAGCAGACTAGATAATGCGACAGACAGCGAGCAACGACGAAACACGCATAAAATGGACCCACACAAAAAACTTGGAGGATCTGGACTTCACCGATGAAATATGTTTGATTTTCCACAAGCTGGAAGATATGCAAGTGAAAAGCAACAAGTTGGCAGAAGAAAAATCCAGAGACGATGAGACTTCAGGTAAACATAGAGGAAACATAGGTAGGTGATAAGGATTCCTGGCTAACAGCGACAGCAACAGTGACAGACAACAATCAGCATAAATGGAAGGAATCTGAAAAAAGCAACGTCCTTTACCTACATGCCTACCTGAGAAGCATCATTTCAACCACTGATGAGGATATCAAAAAGAGGATCGGGAAAGCAAGGTAGGCTTTCATTAGTCTCAAGTCTATGTGGAGGTCAGCGATACTCAGTATGAAAAATAAGATCCGAATTTTCAACTCCAGTGTGAAGTCAGTGCTACTTACTATGCGGGTCAGAGATTTGGCGCGTCATGAAGAGCACTTTGAACAAACTACAGACCTTCATCAACAGCTGTCTTCGCTCAATGCTACTAAAGTTCAGGAGGTCAGAAGAGATCAGCAATAGTGAGGGATCTCTGGGAACGAACCAACTAGCAACCAAATGTGTAACAAATATGCAGGAAGAAATGGAGTTGGATTGGCCATACTCTGAGAAAACAAACCACCAAGTGACATCACACGCCAGGCTCTCTCTCGAGTGGAACCCGAATGGGAAGTGGTGAGTTGGTCGTTAGTGCAAGGGTGACATGGGGGAGGTCATGTGAAGAGGAGATGAAAACATGTGGGCAGACATGGAGCCAGGTGAAAACGCTAGCAGAGAACCGAACGCAATGGAGACGTGCGGCTGAAGTATTATGTTCCTCTAGGAACTAAAGGAAACAATAATAATAACAATTATACTATTTATCAACAGAAAAAGATCCCGACGTGTTATTGACCTAGTGATTTACTGTGTTTTACTCTAACACTGTTTTTTCCTAAGGTTATGTTTTCAGTTGGCTTTGCTTATCATTTCTCAAAAGGATATTTAAAAAATAAAAGCATGCAGTTCAGGTAAAATAACTTTCTCCAGAAGCAAGTTAATTTTTCGTATATATATATGTGATTAATCTTACCTGGTTTGAGCCAGTTGTCAGGATATCGTGGATCTAGGTTTCGTACTTACGAGCACTCGCCAGCAAGATACATGTGATAAGTAATTCGGGACTATTTTCTCAGTGGTTGCTTTAGGTGCACTACTCAACTTTTAGGAATGTAAAGATCATATAACTTAGTGACTACTAGATTTTCCAGCCAATGTCAATTCGCCAAACATGAGTAAACACAGCCATCCACTCTAATGATTCAACCTCTGTGTAGATTACTAGAGAGCTTAATGTCTAAGGTTATATTTAAAAACTTTTTCATGAGGAGATTGTATTCCTCGTTAAACTAACTTCATAGCCTTGACCACAAAACGAAATCCGCACTTCTTTTCCAGGAGGTGGGTCCTGAAATACTATAATAAGGTCCTTACTTAATCAGGTAAAAGCGATTATTCGCAAGTTCTTCATATATGACTATCACAACAATAATTCAGACAACCCAATCACTAACCAATGAATTATGTTCTTAAAATAGCCTTAGAGTTTTACTGTGCATCTTTTGTATCATGACAGCTATTCTGCCACCGATCCCCACCGTACGTATCTTAGAAGAAAAACATCCTCCATCGTTTTTCGTTTCATGGGATAGTGGCGAAAATGCGGCGAACAGCTCCAGTTCTCCAGTGGTTTACGTTTTACAAGTCAAATCTTATTTTGGTCCAGAGTTCGATAATCGAATGTCCAGTCCTTGGAAAACACTAGTGATGGTGAGTAACATTTTATCTTTATTTTAAGAAATTATCGTTAAACAGCTATCCTCAACCATAATAAAATCACCTTCTGAAGAGAAAATAAAGATTTTACAGGTTAATTGTAATACTCACTTAAGTAAACGGAAAATAATGAAGTAGTAGGAACTATAAATTAGGCGTTCATTACTAACGAACGTGAAATTTCATCGGCATTTCAGTTTTGTTCAGTAAATTTAACTTTTAAATTTGATTCTGTTTGCATAGTTTTCAAATGAAGCTTATTACATCGTTCTTATAAAATGACTATTCAGTAATACCACCCGAAGAGAATATCAGAGGAACTGCTAGACTTCAACCCAGTATTTGAGCTAATTTGGTGCATGGTGGCTAACAGTGGAACGCAGGATGCACTTTTCGTCCTATTTTGCCGGTGATCCCCAGTAAATGATAGCGTTCTCATTCAGATTCAAACCTAATACGCTTCGTTTCAACATGTCAGTAGAGGCCAAACATTTTGGTCTAGTCAATCAGCAGCAAAATCATAACTGACTAAAGCAAATAATTAGTTTTTAAATGATAATGATGATTGCCTCACAGTTTGAGTGTTCTTGGTTACGTTAGGTGCGTGTACTGTTAAAAATCCAAAGCTAAGGAACTAACTTCTATGGCTTCTCATTTTTTCCAGTGATGCCGAACAGATGGACCACTGAATTTTTCTATAATGACTGAATGTCAGTATATTCACTTTGAAGGAGAGATTTCTGGGCACTGTGCAGAGGATCTTAAAAGTAAAATAATAACCATTCAAATCTTTGTGATTTCGACACTTTTCTGGTTGGAGTTGGTTTCTGACAGAATTTACCTTAGAATCAATTACACTAAGTAAAATAAGCAACATGACTGTAAGTCTAAGAGTAAGAAATAAGTAAACGATAAACATAAAATATACTATAAGCTTATTATTATTAATATTATTTAAAAGCAAGAAAAGAGAAAAATCGAACTGCGTAGGTAAGCTGGGTTGAATAGACTGGTCTTACTGATGGTTACAGCAAAACACTGTTTCATAGATTTCAGGTGTTCTCGATAAAGTATACTCTAATCCTGTAATAGATAGTAGAGATAACCACATTCCGTTTTAAAGAACACCGGGAACATGATATATTGCAGAACGGGTAATATAGTTGGTTTTTGTTTACTGAATTCCAAAAAACTTCACTTTCGAAGTTATAATTGTTGCCAAGAAAGACATTAAGAGATCACTCTTGAGACCAGTCAGCTCAGGGGATACAAAGTCATCGTGTAGACACTATCTTACTTAATAGATCAGAATATATTTGAGAAGTTTTTAATTTCTGTTTACGTAAGTGTATTGATTAAGCAATGTCACTAATCCACATATGTTAAATCGACATTTGGATAAATCTGTATGGTACAAATATTATTTTGATTATCATTATTATAGATTATTTAGAGTGGAATGAAAATCCAACTACTAAACGAAAGAAGAAATTGTTTATAGACAGACTGAAATAGGTAAAGTAGAAGAATTAGTAAAAGAGTTTTATTCATATATCAGGTTAAAGCAAAGCAAAACATATATATTTACCCACGTATTATCTCAACGGTCTATACTCTTCAGTAGTAAGTTAGCAATGAATAACTTATCTTACAAAAATTATACAAATTTGCGTGATGGTCCACTCCTGACAAGTGGTCATAATGTTTTCCAATTAGTGTAGTAAACATAATTCAGTTATTGACAATATTTGACAGACAATACACCTGTTATTTTTTCTTTTTAGTCGATATCGCACAAATGTGTATATTAATCAAGTTTGTTAATTACTTTGTTAAACACTAGGTAGGTTACCTACGGATTAAAATGAATAAATACTACGTGATTTCTACTATTGTATATGCGTCGGTGACACAGCGGTTAGGACTCTCGCCGACCTGCACATGGCCCGGGGTTCGTACCCCTGCTGACACACATTTGACATCCATGGTCGGCCTGCAAAATTCGGGCTACCGATATCACATGCTGAAAATTCCATACCTGTACCAAAAAATACGGTGTGGAATCAAGCTGTAATCAAAAATAAAAAAAGTGTCAGTACACAGAATTGTAGGGAATGACAATGATTACTGTACGATAGCGGGTTAGATAGCGGGTTTCAAAGAGAACTAAACATACGGGTTTAACAGAAATAAACATTAAATTAGAAGGTAAATGAAAGTTAGAAGGTTTTCCTACAGTTCTTCTACAATTAATAGGTAACCGAAAATTCAAGAAGAATGAAGTGTACTGCGATTTCATGAAGATCATTAATTACTTCCTTTGCGGCAAAAGCTGCACACATTAAAAATCAGTCATTATGTATTTTGTCTGAATAAATATGGTAGACACGTTGATCATCATTTTCATTTTTGGTGTGCTAAGATTCTCTAACTTCATATAGTTCAACTACTGCAACATATATCTTTGATCGTCAAGATGAGTGAGCGAAAATTCTGAAAGGGGCTTTGTTTGTGTCCCTATACATCTAATTTACTAGGGGTTTAAAGTTGAAATACTTAGATTAGGCATTTTCATCTTACTCGTCAACCAAATTCAGTTACTTAATGTCTGTTCTGGGTTGATTGGACTTCTAAAAACCCAAGCCTTTTGAACTAACATCCACTGAATTTCGATTGCAAAGTCATATGCTAAGTGAATTATCAAATAATCACTTGTAAGTGATATCAGTGTGAACGCTTTGTTTGACTCGGCTTTTAAATAGTGTATATTACATCGTAGTAATAGTAGCAGCGTTGATCATTTATTTTACACAGATCGCGGTCAAATGATTTCGAATGTTACTTTTTTTGTCGAATGTAATCTCTCAGCATTACTGGTTAACATAAACCATCTGAACGGTAGTCTGATTTAGACAAAGGTTAAGTGCAACAAATGGAATAAATATAGTTCATTTTTAATACAGATATAAATTACATGGTGTATACGTTTATGTGTATATTTATTTAGCTAGCAAATTAATCATCTTCTAGAATGACAATAAGAATCTTTTATTGATCGAAGGAAACTTTTCAGTATTTAATTTTCATGATAGTCATTTTTATGGTGTGTAGTGCTTATCCCATCCTACCTTTAATAATTATTTTTTTTTCTTGTTAGAGAAAGTTGTCAGTAGTGTCATGTCATTTGAATGTCGCTTTGTATCAGTTTGCGTACTGCTTGTTTCATAAATAATATCAAAGTATGTATTTAAATGACTGTCAAATTTCATAAAAAGGAAATAAACAGTGTTAGACAGAAAAGCGGATTCTTGCAAAACAACTTGAATACAGACATTGTGATACGTTTTAATCAATTTCATACGAAGTGTCAAGGTATGCTTTAAAATTCGTCATAACTGCCTTTCCAGGCATTCAAACATCATATACATTACTTGGTTCAACTGGTTACTAACAAAGCCATTATGTTAACTTTATTGACTCTAAATAGGGTATTTTGTGTTCGCATTGCAATCTCCATTCTTCTGAATTTGTAATAAAGAGCACCGTAAATTCACATAGTGTGCTGACAGTTGGAGACCCGAATTAGGATACAGCTTCATTAACGTACACCGTCAAAATGTGAGTCACCCTCTAGAGGAATACCTGTGTCGGTGGCACAGTGGTTAGGACTCTCGCCGACCATGCACATGGTCCGGGGTTCGAACCCCTGCCGGCGCACACCCGATATCTATGGTATGCCTGAATTTGGGCAACCGATATCCATGCTGAAAGTTCCACACTTGTACTGAAAATACGGTGTGGAAATCAAGCTGTAAATCAAAAAAAAATTTTACACTGAAAAGAATAAATTCTATGCTCTTACCAAATGCATTTCTGAGTTAAACCATACCGCTGTAATTTTATGTAGGATGTTCATGCAGAACTGATTATGGACAAGAATTTTGGAGAATGAATGATTTGCAAATAGTCTGTATTTCTGTAACAGGATTTTAGACCTTCATCAGTTGTTAATACAAAGCTCTTATTATTTACATTAAGCATCTAAATTTATTCTGCATAATAAAATATCTCATGAATTTATAATGAAACCAAGAAGTGATTTTAATAACAGGCTAGAAGAAAGTGTAAGAAGTGGACTATGACTTCCAGTCAAGCATGATAATGGTTTCATTTATATTTACGCTTGAGACTTAAATTGTAAGGTCAGTGATTCGATAATTAAACAGGATTTTGTGTTCAGGGTCACCAAATAAGTTGTCTACTGTTTTGATAAAAGAAAGCAGTTTGTCTACTGTCACAGAATATGTACCAATAAAATACCACTAAGTATAAACCCATCAATTTTATAAATGATCTAACTTCAGAAGATGTCAGTTATAAAAAATATAATCTAATGCTAGACTGAATTCTAAAGATAAAATGAAAATTATAACGCTACTTATGAAAAAGTTGCATATATGATACTTACAAACTTCTCTGTTGACAAAAGTTTTTATTTTTACAGACGAACCAGTTGAAAAGCTTGACGTTTATCACAATGGTTTTATTGATCTTCCTTTCTTTAGCTGAAAGCTAACATTTTTCTAATCCAATACGTTCCCAGTGGAACATAGGGCTTCAAGTTACAGGCTTGAATTATCGGTTATAGTGATGTTTATTTTTAGAGTTGCTAGCCTGATGCCCAACCTTCCCTCTTTACCAGTTTTATTACTGGCTTAGCGAGGTAGAGGAGTGCGTCGGCCGGGGACCGAACCCCGGACCACATCCGTGGTTGGTGATCATTCTACCGCTGTGCCACCGACGCACAAAAGTTAACATCCACAGTGATAATTGTGAATTACTTGGTAATAAAAATAGAAGGTTGTATGACGAATGCTTGAGGAATTTCAGGCATGGCACTTAGTGAACCTGTCCATTCGTTCCCTATCCGTTCATTAGGAATTCCTGTATTACGATGTAAAGCATCGGTTTTTATTTTTCGAGAAATCCCCATTCGAACATTAATAGAGAGACGACTAGTAGTTGAGCGGAGTCCCTTTTTAGAGAATTCACTTTCACAGCTTTCATCACTTTTGTTATTACCCTCTTGTATAAACATCCAATTCCTCTGAACGCTTTTGTATTGCGTAACTCCACCAAAAACTTACTAATCATCACCCCCTAAGTTATAACAACCCTAACCAATTGTATTTTCGTTTGACAAATTTAATATACACACATACAAAATAACTATATATATCTGCGGTTGTAAAGCTGTGAAAATGAATTCTCCGAAAACAGACTCTTCGCTGAACTTCTCTATTAGTTTTTATCTCATTTTTTGATACTTAGCTATCTGATGACAGCTTCTAAACTAATTCATGACTCCTACTTACGTGAGGAAATATCAGCTGAACATTGAGGAAGATGTTTTCGTTCCTTTTTTAGAAAGAGATGTATAAAATAACCATGAAATGTTTTCTAAACTATTATAAAAGTGTAGGCTGATAGCTATGAAACTGACTACAGACATGCTAGAATTCTTAATTCATTTTTTTACTAGAAGATTGAAAAATATTTTAAACAGTCTGTACAAAATTTTATTTATATGAGGTTAATCGAGCTGTAAAACTATTATCCCTCTGTAATAACAGCAGTTATCGATTTTTCCATTGAGATTCCCGGGATAGGAAATGTATGTTTTAAATCCTCAATGGTGAGAGATTATTATCTACCTTTTATCTTTCACCGGACATGAAAATTTCCTATTGCTTTTATTCTGTTTCCAAGATGACAGGTGAAAGGGTATAACTAATGTTTTTAGTTATGTGTCTATATCATGTATTTGAACATAATTTCTCAAAACTTAGGCAGTAAACGTGAGAATATAAAACAAGAATAACAGAAGGACTGAAACCTCACCACAGATTTTATTCTTAAACATAACTGGATAATTACAATAAAACGAAACAGCCGAAGTCATATTTTTAAGCAATATCCGAGTTCAGTTTATGAAGCAGGTCTGTTTATTTATCCTCTGAAATCTAATATCTAAAGAACATTTGAAAGAACAAATAATATTCACTAAAAGTTGATAAATACTGTACAAATATTTTCCCATGTTTTGCAACTTTACTGCATGATAATAAACATAAACTCCGTGTCTAAGTAAGTGAGCGCTTTCCAAGGTCACTTTGTAAAGTGGGAAAAGATTCCGAAAGCTATAAGTGAAGTAGCGATTAGAAAACATTTTCTACCAAATTTTTCCTCACATATTTAATTAGTCACTCAATCAATTAGACAATTAGGTGAAGTGAGATGATTTTGTCTTCTAATTATCTTAAAAGTAATTAATTGGATGTCTGAATGAGGAAGAATTTGTTTACGTAGGTTTGGTAATTTGTCTAATGAGGCTCAACTGTTATATTTAACACTAGAAAATTCTATTTTTGTCTATTAAACACAACATATTTATAAGATTGGTGAACTAAAAAGAAAACAGCCGAGAATGTAACTTGGGAAACATGTGTAGGATGTTTTATGTTTGAGAAACCTATCTTGAAGTCTGCCTTGATCAAGATTCCTTTCGTATACATGTTCTTTACTTCATCAAATTTCAGGTGTGAATATTATTCACGTGCAAGTTTGCCATATGAATTTTATAAAATGACTGCCTTGGTTACCGATATTTATTCATTTACAGACCATGACTACCAGTAAAATCAAGCTCTTTTACCTTTTCAGTCAACTTTGAAAGGCGCTCAGTTAAGTGATCCAGCTGTTGGTTGGTGGTACCAGTTCCAGGTAGCAGCAGTCAACCAGTGGGGTTCACTTGGTTTTGATGTCCCTTCCCCTCCTGTTCAGCTGACAACATTGCAACCTAGTCCTCCATCACCTCCAAGAGATTTAAGTGATGAACTTCTAACATTACAAGCTAATGGGAAAATAAAACTGCAGATACATTGGAGTAGTCCAGCAAAAACAATATTGCCAGTTACAGAATACAGAGTAAGTATTTGTTTTAAAATTAAACTAATTAAAATGTAAGTTAATTTTTCTGTTGTATATCGTGAGTTCACTGATATACTTTAAATCTCCTTCCTCATTGTGGAATTTTTAATGTGATTTTCTCTTCCAGAAGGTCATCGTAAAGTACCATTTTGAAGCAAGATATGAATATGAGTAAATATTTGTACAATTTCCACACCTTTAGATATAGTGATAAACATTCTGCATTTGTACTCTTAAATTTTGACTAATGTAATTCCCTTTCCAGAATTACTTAGATGCCACCTTCGGTATTCGTTCTTTAAGTTAAACAGTGAACAAAGAGGTATACATACACGACAAGATCAAAACTATAACAAAAATATTTTTGTTATGACTTGGTTTTAAGCACCCTGGATAACAAGGCTATTGTGAGTGACTTAATGTGATTGTGAGCAATAGTTTGTGCTCGAAAAGTCATCAGTTAATATTACTGTATAACATTGTGTGATTTATCAAAATAAAATCTTATCTATTATGGAGTTATACTCTACCACAGTGCCCAAGTTTTATACTTATATCAGTAAGGCTATTAAACATTTTAGTGATATTGTCTCTTAAATTTATATGAATTTCAAAATAAATTTTTCATGCTTTCTAAATTCTTTGTCAAAAGTTCCTGCTTTTTATAGTCAAACAAGTAGAGCTAGATCACTTTGTTTACTAATAATTCGGAAGTTAACAGACCCACCAAAATCACTGTTATTTATCAGCATTAGCTGCTCACTTTTTTCAGCTAACTCTTTTCAGCTTACCAGTGAAAATATTACACTGATTTGTATTGCGAATACTAACTGAGACAGTTTGTGCTTTTGAACAGCTATGGACTCAGAATTAATTGAGGCAAGTGGGATTTGGTTACTATACACTACGAACAATCTGATAACACATGACTTTGTAGAGCTATTAATGTAAAATTGAAGAATTTCAGTGTGAAATATACGAGTCAGAAAAATGATCATACCAGGAATATGAAGAGTACATATGAAGGTTCAAAGCCAGCAGTGTTACAGAAGTCCTCGCACTTGTAAAATTAGGGATAAAAAGTTTCGTAATAAATGATAATGGGTATATAAGAACTGAACTTAATCAAGGTTATTTGTCTTTGGATCTACGAAGACAACTGGACAGCACTCACTGAATATTTGTTCATTTACAAATAAGTTGGTGGTTAAAACGGTCTGTAGTATAACCGCTCTTATGTCATTATTGTCGTCTTCGAAGTACAGTTATGTAATCTTCACTGAAATGATTCTGCTCATAAGTACGCATTATGTTTTGAATCCATCAGTATATGACAACATGTTTTAGAAAGTCATATCAGCAACCTAAGTGCTGCGTAGGTTTGAAACTTGCAAATTTACCTATTTCGAATTCAGATGTCCCATTTAGAGGCTAATATATTTCTGTAATTTCTTTTATTAAGTATATTGAGATAACTATTTATGATATTTTCTGAAAGTGACTATGACGTTTATTAACTCTTTTTCTGTTAAGCACCAATTACAATTACAAGAGGAATAAGTATATTCAGCACTTTTCTGAAAGTCTCATAATTCATCTAGGATGTTAGAGATGTTACACTCCCCCAAGTACATATAATTTCCTGATGATAAAATAATCTGTTTTTTCATTAATCGTTTTATAAGTCGAAAAAATCTAAAATAAAATCCGTATTTCTTGTAAATTTGCTTTCATATAAGGTTTCGTGGGGTCCTGATTTGGCAAATATAGGAAATAATCATGAATTCACTGAGAAACCCACTCAATTTGTACATACTCTTCCATCCGTAAGTAAATCTTGCCGGTGTTTCATTAATCGGGTTTTTGTTAATGATTTATACATGAAAATACTGTGATTGTTTTACTCGTTTTAACGAAGAGTAGAAACACAATTTCAGTCTGGAAATAATCATGAAATAGGTGACAATTTTCACAGTGGCTAGTTATTTTACTTCCTACAAAACATAATTGTTATTTCATCGCATTAACTTAGTCTATGCCATTATCTTCGAATTGAATGATTTATTTGTCTGTCTATATGACAGTTTACTATGGATAGTGGAGCAAGCTGAATTTTATGTGGACATAAAAATGCGCAATATTGAAAATTTTACTCTAAACAAAAGTTACTTAAGCTTTTTGTTGCTGAGTTATCTAGGTGATAATGAATTTATGACTGTGCATAAATTCACTCCCGTGTCTGCATAAATTGAAGAGAGTGACTATTCAGGCAACTTCAACACATTTGCATAAATTTGAAAAAGTTGAGTACTTGTGAACGATGTGAGCGGCGTAAATAAGTTTTGATAATATTCATGGGAAAATAAAAATAATGAAATAATAGAGTTTCTGAGATGACTTTCTTTGTATCGTAAACAAAGATTTTACATGAAAAAATAATTAGTTATGATAACAGTTTCAGGCGTGCAGTGTAATAAAAATACTGTAGAAGGTAAGTTGCCATAAAGAGGAAAATGAAAAGATTCAGTCTACCAAAATGTAGGCAAAATGTTAACCTGAAGGAGAAAGACAACCTGACAGTTTAGAAAATATTGTGATTTTCACGAATATATGGATGAATGTAAATTGTAACTTTGTATTTGTAAAATTTGAAATACCCACCTTAAAATTACATTGATAACGTCGTTCGTATAACTGTGAATTCTTCCGGTGAAGTATGTGAAGGTGATAACTTTTCTCCTTTATCACTCAACTGACTTCTTTAACTGTTGTTTGACATTTTTTACGAGATATTACCTGTTAATCTAAATGACCTAAAATCTTATCTCATAGATTACTTTAGTTGCCATAAACACATACACGAATATAGAACACAACATCATGGACAGAATGAAGCCAACAGAAGTTTAGTCTTCAAATATGTATTCAAACATTAAGTTTAGTACTTCAGGTCAACAGAGTAACAGGAATTTCACGAGATATTTCCCTTCAATCAATCTACATGTGAATAAAGGATGAGAATGGTTTCATGAGCCAGTTATTTTATTTTATTCTGCTGAAATTTCGCTCAAATGGACCAGAAATCCAGTGATAATTTTACTTTTCATCGGTTTAGTTTTTATGCTGTTGACACACAAGTGAAGTTATCAAAGTTTAAAAAAACAATGTGTTAGTCACGGCAAAACTTAATATACTAGTTTTTGGTGTTTCTTGTCATACTTTCTTACTATTCTGGTTCAAATCTGTGATTCATTCTTACAATCATAGCCAAATTTCAACTGGTATCGGTTCAGCATCTACTTGGCTGTATGTCGTGCCATTTGAGATTTTGCTTGAACGTGTTTTCCTTACTGTTGCCATAATACTAGTCCTTTTACAGCTTCTTCTGAAGCACTGAAGGAGTTACCAAATGCGACTGGATGAAACAAGTATCAGTGTGTTCGTCACTCCCGAAAGAGCTAAACAACAGTTTTGAACTAGCGTAAAGTTTGCATTCATTTATAACGTTGATTACTGAGCGAACATAAATCTTTTAACATGCAAAAGTTTTACATTTTATTTAGTGCAGCATAAATATATCAGGAAAACTACCGATAAATTTGTTCTCTATTGAACCGACTGTAAGCGATTTCATTCTGTGACAGATATTCACTCAAAATCTTTTTTTTTAATTTATAAAATTCAGTGATTGTGCATTAATTTCTTTTTTGTTTTCAATTATTTTTACTGATTACTTTTATTGTTTTCTCTTAGTCTCAGACAAGTTATCAACTGACAAATCTCTATCCAGGATTACTTTACCGGATCCAGGTGAGTTATTTTTAAATTAAATTTGTGTATTCATAGAGACTACATGTTGTAAGTATGAGCTGCTTAGGAACTTATAAAGTGTATTATTGTTGATTAATTCTGAACTTCATCAACCGACTATGTAAACCTAAAAATAATGAAGAAAAATAATTTCTTACTCTACAGTATAGGCATATTCTATTGAAGACAACTTCATCATTGAAGGACATGTATCACTCTCATTATTTTGACAGGGATTAGATCACTTGTCTGAACAGGTCTTAAATAATATATTTTTACTCAAAAAGTTTTCTTAAATAGGAATTTATCCATGTTCTTAAATTTGAGAAGCACTTGTACTGTATGCGTGTAGGTGAGTATACCTGCAAAAATATAAGACCTAACAAAGAGTATTCAGGAAGAGTAAGTGGTTTTAAAATTTCAGTGATAACGAAGTTGAATGTAACTTCACTAAAAAATGAGCATTTTTAATTTATGCTTTCTAAATGTTTTTGGTTTTCAAGGTGATAGCGATGAGTGAATGGGGTTCAACACAGCTTAGATCACAGCCAAACACTTTGTTCATTCATACTCCGTCTGTGGACTCAATTCAGGATGAAGGAGATGTTGCTTTAAATACCTATCTTAAGAATTTTGATTCGAATACTCCTCAATATCAAAAGGGCATGAAATATTCGAATGCTTTCAGCGGGATCTCTGCAAAAGAAAACTCTGGTTATATTTCAAGTAAGCATTATGTTATATTTGTAGCTAGGTGTTTATTTTTTGATGATAGGTAAAATCATATCACGCAATTTCCACTGCTGAAGTAGCAATTACATGAAATGTTTTAATTTCAGACTTCTTAGTCTTCAAAATGAAGTTGTGGAAAAAACCGTTTGACGAGGAATCCGATAATTACTACGGATTTTTGTAGTTTTCGAGATAACTTTGTTTTCAATATATGGATATGAGTTGACTAGATTTTTTGAAAAAATGAGTTAAAGTTAATTTGACTGTCTTTTTTGTGTTCAGTACGAACTAATCTTACCTTATGCATGCTCTCCGTTATACTGAAATTGGTTACCTTCATTCTTACTCTTCTTGTTTCAAAATAACTGGCGATGCGCTTTCGCCAGATTTCACCTAAGTATTATGGCCGGCACCCTGAAGTATCTAATGGCCTCCTCCATATTTTTCTGAATTGACCGACGGGAAGAGTGTCTGATTTCGACAGAATACAATTATAACTACTGTTAGACTGGTAGAATGTTTAATAAATGTTTAAATTATACCTCTTCAGATGAAAGTTGCGTTTACTTACCAATGTAAAATAGAACTTCAGCACATTGATGGTAAATCAACATAAGAGCCATTCTCGTTACATTTGCTCTTCAAAATCAAGTGTAATGTATTTATAATATACCTGAAATTAATTCTTTATTTGTATCAGAATTAGTATGTGGGATTTTAACCGACGAAAATAATTTCCTTAATTTCTAAACTTGGCAATGAAATTTTTTGTAGGACTCAGTATAAAAATGAATAATTCACTTTTTTCTAGATTCGGGCCAGCAGGAAGCAGCATTCGTTTGCAATGGAACTAGTAAGAGTTTGGTTTTCAAAGGTCCATTTTCACAAGAATCACTAGGACCTTTAAGTTCTGTGACGACTGAGTTATCAATTAAAACAGATACCGCTGTTTTCGATGGACGTGACCTAACGGCTGAACTTTCAATATTTGAAAATGAAGTCTTACGTGGTCCTACGATGGAATTGCATCAACAGTCAGGTGGGCGATTTTGTATGTGCAATAATGAATTTGTAAATTATTTCATTATTAATTTTCTTCTGGGATTTAACGGCTATGTGGTATACAGAGAAAAGAAATTTAGTGAATTGGCTGTTATAAAAGTGACGCTGATTTTATTGTGCTTATAATAAGCTCATAGAATAAGGTTGATCAAGAACAGAAAGTGTTCTTAATGTGCATATCACTGTCCTGTTCCTCACAGACATAAATCAGCAACAGTACTGCCAAAGACAAAAGAGTACTGAACGGTTATTTTGCACTAATTTAGACGTTTTCAATGCTGTACCCCTGAGTCCTGAGATGACTGCTTCAATATTTAGCCATTATGTTAGAGTCCAACGGTATATGCTTCCCATTCAAACTACCACATGTGATGTATGTGTACATTCACAGTTTCGTTATGTAATATCAAACTGGAAAACAGTTTTTGCCAGCTAAACCAAGTGTACACTTATATGGCCAAACAGAGCATCCTGAAAATGGTGGAATGACATTTATCTATTAAGTCTTAGATCTTTCATATCTTTGGCTTGACTTGTAGTGCATCCTAATATTTTAGATTAAAGGAGTTACTCATGCTACATTAAGATGGTGAGGAAGGGAATTCTTAAAATTGTAGAATCACCTCGACTATGAGTAGCAACCAGCATACAGGATAAAATTCAAAGCGGACAATAAAATTGCGTAAACATATTCAGCACTCATAGGTTTCCCAATGATTTTCTAACTGATGTCAGCTAATGATGAAATCCTCCAACCAATCAAGCCAAATTCCCTACAAAACCAATACTTGAAAACATATTCAAATGTCTTATACTGTTGACAAACCTCTGAGGACTGAATTCCATTTATATTTTATTAATTGTAATTAAGGACGTGAAGTCCCATCCTCTAACACGAACTAACAGCAAAAATGCAATTCAGGTTTGGCGGTCACTATGATTTGAACATTATGTGTTATATTATCGAATAATGAAAATTTCGAAGTGAAAAATGAGTAAATTAGGTGTACTCCTCTATATGATTCCCCTTTCACTAAGCAATTATCACAGTTATATGACTAAGTCAGGTATTGTATGGTTGGTTAACCGCTAATAAAACAATCATGAACCTGGTGGTTTTGTGAAAAGTCAAATCTAAACAACCTTTTTTGCTGGGACTGACGAATAAAAGAGCTAATTGTAATTCCAGAATTTTGTACTATCTGGTTTCTAATTTACTCGTCAGACATGGTCAGTTATGATCAGTCAAAACGCAATTCAGTTTCTCTTAATCAGACAAATAAGTGTACAGTGTAGATTAGGAGGCACTGGAAGAGAAGTCAGTGTTCTGAAGCTATAGTTTTCGTTAAGAATGTATAAATTGAAAACCGCACACAGAGTTAATAACATTGTCAATTTCTCATGATGGTTCACACATTATTCGTACTATGAATTTTATCACATGCAGAAAATATTATGAATTTAAGTGACTCAGTGTAGATTCCCAAGGAAAACCCCTAAACTTCCATTGTTACGATTAGCCTTTTTCCGCAAAGCAGTAAAGTAATCCTAGGTATACTAACTTTTATGCACAACAAAGACTTTAGAAATGACAATTGAAAGCAAAATCAACTTTATGATTAATTTTATTGTGTTACATTTCACAGTCATGTATTACACTAGTGCACATCAAGTATTAGGAGAAGTTCCCAACACCAAAAGTGTAATATTTATTCGACATATTTTGGTGAATACTGGGAAATTAACACATGAGGCAAATTCAAAAGTTAAATGATATACAAACTTTCTGTCATACTGAATTAAAAGTGAATAAAGTTTCATCTTTGCACTTTTCATTTATATTAGTGAGTCCTCGCCCAATTCTTGTCCGATGGACACCTCAAGTTTGCATCGAAACTGTTATTGTGACAGGTAGTAACTTGGATGAGGCAAATTCTTTTCAGTCGGAAACATTAATTGCCAATAACCTTGAACAGTTCACCAAACCATCGTACATACACGTAGAAAAAGAAAATGGACGTAAAGAATCCCTTAGATCAAGTGAAAAATATGTTCTACTGAATCCCGTCAAACAAGGAGTTGATAATTATGCAGATGATTCAAAGCAAACGAGATCAATCTTAAGACATGCAACACTTAAGTTAACAAATTTATACTTCAACTGCAGATATTTAGTAGAACTGTTATCTGATAAAGAAGATCAATCCAAACGACCTGATCAAATCTTTCAGTCAGCTTACACATCAAAGTATAATGTAGAATTGTCGGCTTGGTTGTGCACACCGTCTTGTTCTACAGTGAAATTAGCTTCATGGATTAAAAAGCCAAACTGTCCTGGCACAACACAAGGTTGGTTTAATCTTATCACCGTTTATCTCTTACTTAGTTGTTTGATGGTTAATAAGGTAAAGTGAGTAAAGCATATGAGTAAAGATTTGCTCAAGAACAAACATCATATTAAAAGAGCAGTGGAAATCAGGGAAAAGTGCATTCCCCCTTAAACAGAAGTTAGTAAGGGCATATATAAAATCTGAGAATGTAAATGAGAGTTGAATACAGTACTTTGAAGAAAAAAACCAGCAAATCAAATGATTTATACATGTTAATTTACTCATGTGGAAAAGCTCCTAAATATAACTTTCGACCCATCGTTGCAACTGGAGTAGAATCACACACTTCATGTCTGTAATTGGATTATTATTTCTCAAATGACTTTTTCTATTGTTAACTGCATCTATTTTTTTGAAAAACACTTAGTTTTAGATATTATATCAGAACCGAAAGATGTATCTTATAAGCAAATTTCTGTTGGGCCAACAATCAGTTATAACATATCATGGAAATCAGGCGTCCTCAAATCAAGATCTGATAGCACTGCTGCTAAAGAAAACTACAGCGGCAAAACAAATAAAATGATCTTCCCTGTGCATCACAGGTAGGTGATTTCATGCTTTTATCTCTTATTATGAAAATGTAGTGTGTATATTATACTTATGAGTGGTAATTTAACACTTAAATTTTCAGTATATTCGTGGGATGTATGTAAAGGCCCTGGAGAATTATATACCATTTGTTCTAAGAGTACCCCATTCCATATGCAAACCTCAATACCGTCATCACCTTAGTTAATATCCTGGATTAAAGCCTTTCGAGAAATGCAGAGGTCATCATCCGATTATTTGGGTACTTTAAACATATACTGACTTGTCATCAGCACTTCCTAGGAAATGTTTCCCAACCAGCTGGATTGAGCGGGAGATTATTCTTATTAAGTACTGTAAAAGGATAAAAAATGTCTCTGTTTCTTATTAGTCGTTTGTGCTCCGTTACACTGTGATTTAACCACCATTCAATTTAATGACACATTGGAAAATCTCCACCAAACCCTTGCCTAAGCCCATTAATGAGTTGAAAGTATCAGCCTTGTCTAAGATACTAAAATTTCTACCAAGCAACTACTTAGTCATCACGTTCAATCACATTATGTAAATTGTTAACAAGATCTCATTGTCATTATTTCACATGACATTGAAAAAAAGTATTTCTGAAAAGTCAGAAGATACCCAGTATGTATTTAGTGATGTTTGATATGCAATGTGAGTGTCTATGCAGCAATAAATTAGCACCTAAATCAATTAATCTTATGTCATGTTTTAAAGATGTAACCAAATTTGAATTTATTTATTTGATTTCAGTTTTATCTCACCAACTTGAAGTTTTACGGTGACTAGCCAATTTTATTCATGCAGATAGGTTTTATTTGGAATATTTTCTAGAGACTAGTTATATAACAGTGTTAAAGCATTTTCTATTTGACCTGTCTGACAAATGACAGTGAAATTTGTCTGTATAGTCCCAAATGCATGAAAGATGACACATCGATAATTCATTTCAAGTGTAAAACTTTGTACATTGTTGTTAAATGTTACCAGTAAGAGATAATTTAGCAGGTGTTAGTTATTCTTTGTATTAAATTAGTGATCGCCTTACAAATAATCTTTCCAAAGAAGAAATTCTGTATTAACTGCTTACGGGGATAGTTATTTATAATGTAAAATGGAGTAACTTACTATGAAGCAAATAAAATGCAATGATAAGAAATTATAGTACCCTATCTTGATTTAAGTGATGTGAAAACTTAACAAATTCTTTCATTTAACTTTTAGATGAATTCAACCACTTTGCTTCATACTTTATGAATTAAACTTATCTATTTATCTATATTTACCGAATACTGACTTTTTTAATTGTTTATTAGAATCATATGGGGACCAAGTCGAGACAGTGCAATGAAATCTGTAGTTTGGAAGTCATGGCCGAATCTACGTCCTCGAATAGATCAAACCAGAGCAGAGACAAAAGTTCTACGAAATGTAAGATATATGTTAAATTGTTATTAAACTGAATATTTTGTAAGAAACTGGATATCCCTTCTGGATTTGTTTCCCTTAACCAAAGTAGTGAAAGACTCTCCCATGTGTATTAATCTTTGTGACTTGCTAGAGTGGAATAACTCTCTTTTAGTAACAGGCATTTGAGCCATAATCCTGGTGTTTGAAAAAATCACATGCGAGCATTTGTGAGTATTCAGGTGTATGTTTTTGCTGTGATACACATATTGTATCACTTTAACACATGAAAGTGATTTTATGTAAACCCGTTGAACTTTCTAGATTTTTATTAAAAATGCGACTGGTTATCATCCCTGTACAATTAGTTGACATTATTTTCACTAAAACTACGGACAACTCTCCAAAATAATACTCTATTACTGCTAAATATTTTCCCTTACTGTTAGCTGCGTCAAAATCTTATTCTAAGCAATCTCCATTTTTCTTTACCTTTTTCTTTTGTCAAAAGAGCGAAACATCAATTGTTTTGGACAATCTTCTTCCCAGCACATTATATGTTGTCAGTTTACAGGCTATGACTGGAGAGCATAATATACCCCACTCTGAGGATGCATCTTTACACGCTAAAATGAACAGTAACTCCGAAAAAGATTATATGAAGTCAAGTCTTATGTCTTTCCAGTCTATAACACCCAACAGTGTTTATTCACACTTACCAATGAAATATTTTGGAACAAGCAAAGAAGTATTTATTGCATTTGAAACTCCTGCGAATGTAAATATTTTGGATAATAGAATGAATCACAGCCATTCCTCACAAAAATTCCTGAAGTTTTCAAGAAACGGATCACCAGGTAACTGAACATGTGAAACCTTTTATCTAACTTAACGTAACACAACATCGACTATAGAGATATTGGTTTTCAAGTATTGGTTTTGTAGGGATTTTGTGTGATTCTTTGGAGGACTTCATCATGAGCTGATATCGGTTAGAGAACCATTGGAGAACCAGCTGGGAGTACTGGAAAGCTGTTTCGTCCTAGTTTGGGACTCTTCATCAGTACGCACCTACGGCCAGGGTTCGAAGCCAGGACCTGCTGGTTACAAGGCAAGCTCGTAGATCATTAAGCCACTGGGACCCAATCCAGTGGCCCATCAATTCTAACTTCTGCCAATTCATGACATATCGCGACCACTTTGCAATTGTTTTCAAATATCCTTCTGAGAGCTATGCTGTCTTTTGAATGAGAGATAACAGCATTAGGTAACATAGGTGTCAAAGAAATAAGAGTCAGTTATGACTGTCCCAAGGCTGAGATTAATACCATTTAGTCGTCATGATGAAGATATCATGGGGTTACTTTTTCTGGACACTAGGTGGTAACTGTCATACTCCTGGTCCTGCGTTTGGGGTAGACTCACAGAAGGACTGCATGCATGACACTAGTTAGTAACCAGTGTCCAATGAAAGTATCCATCATATTTCTAGGGGAGATCTGTCGCAAATTCAAACACCTCAGTTGTATTATCCCTGACCGCAACACTGGATGTCCTGCTTTCAAATCTCGGAATGGACATGAGTTCCTTGATGATTGCAGATACACGATGCTGACGAGTGCTAACAAGCATGAAATCCAGGTAAAAAGCCTCATGGTGACTGCTTCCAACCGTTTAATAACAGTATCATGAAGCTGTTATATTTTTTCAATATTGATGAGTTTATTATAATCTTGACAGTGATTTTAATGAGTGGTAAAAATGATAGCTTAATTTGCTATGTAATCCAGCAGATAATTCCCATATTTCTACAACACGTATCTATTTCTTCACAGGTAACTCATACAGTATACAGAAGAATTATGCAAAATGTCATGATTTTGTCCGATTGTTAAAATTTCAGTTATTGTGAACTTTATCGTAGAGCAGAATAATATCGTCAATCCTTTTCTGTACATATATATATGTCTTTGGGTTGAATCATATATGTATATATACGTCAAGTTTTACGTTATAATTTCTTGGAATAGTTCGAGGTAAACGTAGAATCCTAATGTTTTCCAAACATTTTATGTTTTTTATAGAATTACGACGGACACTCAGAAAGGAAATTTACTGCGTGATCTGGCTGGCACTGTTTGCAATCATGAAAAATTGTTAATTTCACCGATTAGTATGAGAGTTTTTCAACTATGATAAAACTTAAGTCATTTTTGCTTAATTTCACCCTCTTTTTCATTTCTGAGAAACCCCACTTACCTTCTTGTGTTGTAACTTAACTGAGTTTTTCCCTCCATTTCTTTGTCGGATCTTTCGATGACTTACTGTATTATTTTATAATATTTACCTCAACCATAGACTTTGCAGGTAAACATCCGTGAACGATTTACCCAGCTGAACCAGATCATGAAGTATTGCCTGAGTGTGTAATCTGTTTCCGCCTTTATCTGTGAATTTTCATGATATGACTAAGTTTACATAACTGTCGATATGTTCAACAAACCAACATATTCACATTTACGAGTGTTTGCTTGTATTTAGGAATAAACTTCAGAAAGAAAACTGTACAATGCTATGTGTGATAATATTTCCCCTTAACTGCTTTTGTATAACTTCTCAATTCTAGTGGTAAAAAATCACAAGTTAAAAAAAAATCAGTTTCGCTTATCTTCTTTATTTTCTACCAGTAACTTCCGTTATTTACATGTACATATGTTTTTTCCCATTCATCCCTATCTGTTCTCATCAATGAAATCTGTGATATTGCATTTATTATGTACAATGAGTGATTTGTTAGGGAAACTGTTATTTAATGCAAATTTTAATAATCTGAAAATATGTTCCAATTCTTTTGTTTTTCTACATAAACTGCATTACTAAAAATCATTTTTTTAAAATTATTTTACTATCAGTTCACTTGTACAAAATTCTTTGTTTCCTGCATTCAACAACCTTTGGCAGTATGAAATATCAAGTAAATACTGAGTGGCTTCTGATTTACTTGCAGTAATTTCTTTGGTCAGGATTGTTCATTTGTTGCCACGAGATATTTATAGGGTAATTTAATAATTCCCATTGTGGCATTAAGATCACAATATTCAGCGAAGAGACTCTTTTCAACGAATTTATTAGCAAGCTGTACAATCGTATAAATGGTTTTGAAAAAATTATATCCGGTGAGGGAATCAGATCAAAGTTGTGAATACATGAAATAATAATAGTATGAAATTCAATTAAAATATTTGTGATTATAATCATAGTTAAATGTCAACTAGTAAAACAATTAATGTCATATACAGAATAATATATAAGGTGTATAGATGTTGGAAAGGGGTGCATAATTATAGGATTAGTAGGCGAATACGAAATGTTATATAACATGGTGTGAGATTTGATAAG